ACTGGTTGTGATGTGAGGCATCGCTTGAGGGTGTGAAAAGCGGCTTCGCAGTCGTCCGACCAGACAAAGGGTGCGCTCGTGGTCAGAAGTTTGTTCAGAGGAGCCGCAACAGTAGCGAAATCACGCACAAAGCGGCGGAAATACGACGCCAAGCCAAGAAAGCTGCGGAGGTTTTTGGGTGTGGTTGGTGTAGGAAAGTGCAGTACCGCGACAACCTTGTCGGGATCGGGCTCAACGCCATGTTTACTGACGACGTGACCTAACACCTTGATGCTGTGACTGGCAAACCGACACTTCTTAGTGTTGAGCTGGAGACCGGCCTTAGCTAAACACGTGAGGACTTCGTCTAGCCGTTCCAGGTGCTGTGAGAAGCCGGACGAAAAGATGACAATGTTGTCCAGGTAGCAAAGACACGTCTTCCATTTTAATCCCCACAGTACCATGTCTATCATTCATTCAAATGTGGCTGGGACGTTGCATAGGCCAAAAGTCATCACATTGAATTCAAAGAGCTCATCTGGCGTAGCAAACGCAGTCTTCTCTTTATCGGACTCTTGCATCGGAATCTGTCAATAACCAGGGCGCAAGTCGAGACTTGAAATGTACTCGGCACCTCGTAAAGTATCAAGAGCGTCGTCAATGCGAGGCATTGGGTAGACGTCCTTACAAATGATTTTGTTGAGTGATCTGTAATCAATGCAAAACCGTACCGAGCCATCCTTTTCTTTGATTAGTACGACAGGAGAAGACCATGTGCTTGTCGAAGGCCTGATGACGTTGCGCGCGATTATGTCGTTGACTTGTTTTTCTATAAGTTTGCGTTCAGAAGCCGACACATGGTAAGGGCGGCAGCGAATGACACGGGATCAGTCGGTGTCGATACGATGAGCGGCCACTGTTGTTTGACCCAGACCATCGGAACAAACGTCAAAGCAAGTTTTGTGCTTCATTAATAACGCTATCAAGGCATCAGTTTGCGTTGGGTTGAGATGTTCACACAAAGTGGCCTTGAGAGCAGGAGATAAATCTGCAGCTGGTATACACTTTGAGAATGACGAAGCAGATGAACCAGTGACGACACAAACCAAGGCTTCTTCGGTAATGCTGGCAACAGTGGTCCCTTCTGGCAGAAGTAGTGGTTCTGGCATCGTGTTGCAGGCGGGGATGCTTGCATGTCAACGTGAGAACCGCACTAAACAAGATGCGATGGTGATCCCTCGAAAAATACAGCGCTGGCATGGAACAACCACAGCGTCACCATATAGATTGTCTCGTGACTTGATCGTAAGGACACGTTCTTGTCCGGGAGACAGGAGGAAATCCGCAGCTGTGACAAAGTTGGGCGACGAAAGGTCGGCAGCAGAAGAAAGCTCAGTGTCATTAATACGAATGAGGGGCCGACCACACAAAATTACAGCAGACGCAGCTGAAAAGAAGTCCCAGCCTAAGATTATCTGATGAGCGCACGAAGACAGCACAGCCAATTGTACGTGATGACGGATTACATCGATGAGAAAACGAGCAGTACACAATCCGCTCGGGCAAATCGGACTGTCATTAGTGCCGCATAACATGGGACCGGGATAAGGAGTTTGCACTTTATGCAGGCAAAAACACAATTCACGGTCAATTACCGAAATGGCGGCTCCAGTGTCAATAAGGGCATCAATTATCGAAATGGCGGCTCCATTGTCAATAAGGGCATCAACAAAAACACCTTCCACACAAACAGGCAGTAAATTAGCTGGACGAGACAGAGGAGTTGTAACGTTTCAACAACAAGCAGTTTCCCCCCCAAAAACTGCACCTTCTAGCTTTCCGAGTCCAGAGAGATCGGCGCGGGACGCAGGGGTGATGATGTACACCGAAACGGTGATGGAGAACGGCGGGGAGATGAACGAGAAGGATGAGGCCGAGCTTGAGACCATGGAGGGGAGGGCTACCGACGGGATATGAACAGATACGGCACGGGACCGTATTCATCGGGTCTCGGGGCAAAGTCTCTTTCGTAAGCTGGATAACCTTGACGTTCATCCTGCTGACGGCGCCGGCATAAACGGGATATATGACCCCTTATGTCACAGTAGAAGCAGACGGGGCACGGAGGACGTCATGTACAATAGTGGGGTGGCCTTGGCACTTGCGTGGCCATCGCAGCCAAATGGTCGCATCCGACGTCTGCAGGCACGGTTGGAGCTGGTGCAGGGGCCCGTGATGCAACTTCTGCGTACGAAGACGCCGGAAAGCGCACAGGAGACAGGGCATGTGCAGCACTTGTCGTTGATACCAGTTCGTCCTTGATTATCTCACATAGGTTGAGAGGAGGTGGGCGGACAGATGCAATGGTTGGGTTGCCTGGAATAAGGCCGTGCAGTTCCTCTCTGACAATAGTGCGGCTAAGGGCTCGCAATTCATGCTCTCCAGTAAAGCGAGCGTCGCAGGAGGCGTGTGGAAGGCGCATGGGATAAAGTGTGTCCAGGCGTTGGCATGTGGTGGTGACGTCCGGGACGGTAGTTGGGTTTTGGATAACGAGAGTGTTGAAGGCCACAGAGTTGATACCTTTAAGTAGGTGTCGGATGCGATCCACCTCCGTCATGTCATTTTGTGCTCGGCGACAGAGAGCCAGAACATCTCCAATGTAGAACGTATATGATTCGTCGTCCCCCTGCATGCGGGTTGCGAGCTTCTGTTTCGCTACCGCAGAGCATCCTGCGGACGTGCCAAATACCTGACAGAGATGCCCCGTGAAGGCCGACCAATTGGAGAAGTCACTCTCGGGGTTGTAATGCCAGGTTTTAGCAACACCATCGAGTACACAATATTGTTAATTTTTAGCTGTTTTTGCAGTATCCTGAAAAAAGCTTTCAACCGGTTCTTTTGTCTTCATGCCTCAAGTGATTCTAGTTCACAGGATTCTAACATCTGCATGACAGAATCTAACCGGCGGTAGTTCGTGCATATGAAGTGTGCGTCAGGGCATTGAACTTTTTGTAATTTTGTTATAAGGCTGTCTCTATGAGGACTCCACACGACTGAGGCATATTCTAGTAGTGGTCTAACGCAGGTTTTGTAAGCCATGAGTTTTATATCTCGCATAACTTGATGTAGTTTTTGTCTTGAAAAACTTAGGTTCTGGTTTGTATTCATTTAATCCACTACGAGAAGTTTGAGCCAGAATTTAGCATATTTAACCTTTCTAAGAGTAAACAGTGAGAAACGGTATTCAAGACCTTCTGAAAATCAAGGAAAATACATTTGATAATGGAATCAGATTTCTATTTAGTACATACTACAGTCCGTAGACCAAGCAGGAGGGGCAAAAAAAGGGAGCGCAGTGGAAATAAAGTGAACAGGTTTGTACAGCAAGTTTTCTAACTATCCTACGTGACAACTGAAAAACAAATGCATACTAAGCAGACCGAATTAAATGTACACTACTAGAAAAAAAAAGTGCACACATTGCTTGAAACAGTCTCAAGCACAAAAATAACACAACCGAAATCTTGAGGTGGCATTATCTACTAGAGCATGATATTAACAATGTTATCTAAGCGATGCTAAGCTATTTAAGAGATTGCATTACAATAAAAAAAAATCTGACATACGGCTTGGTATGCTTATCTTAGTTAATCTTCCTTGTTCCCTTCTCTGTGCCTCTTCGCAATGTCATGTGCAGAGCCACACCACTGCATTTTGTTCCAGAAATCATGCTGCACTAATGCGAGAAGCCAGTGTCCTTTGCAGTGCACTACAAGTTTCACCGTCTATCACCACCAACAAACCCATTCTGACCATCCCTAAATGCCCTTCATGGAAAGTTTGAGAACCCCTGGCTGAAAACCTGATTGTAGAAGGGTAAATAAAATATTATAAGAGACTTCCAGGACATATTTTCAAAGTACCAGGAATGCTGTACTGGGAAGCTTAAACGGGTTTAAATATGTGAAAATAATTTTTTTGAAATTAGGGACAAAATCAGTCTTTTAACATTTGTGATGTTATGGCCCAGTATGTTTCTCTTAGTTGGTCTTCCTTAGCCTCTTGTAGTCTTTTGTACCACCTTATCGTGATGGCCTCTGTTGGGTGTTAGCAGAAGTACTTGATAAAATGTTGCCAACCATAATGATTAGTAGCATATCATCATTTCTTGAGGATCGTTCCTGAATGCTTGCAAATTTCTGGCTTGTGGGACTTGACATATTTCATGATGGCCATTAATTATGTTTAAATCCTGTCTTGTTCTTTGTTTTAGGCTAAGCATAGGAAGAATTGTACTGTAGAACTTCAGGGCTATGAGTCTTATCAATCATGTTCTCATTTTCTCATGAACTTTTGTTTCTACAAAGGCTCTCAGGCATTTCTTACACACAGTTGTCTCTTATATTCATGCCTCTTGTAAAAGGACTCACCTGTATTCAAAACAGCCAAAATTTTTAACACTTGAATTTACTTCCAGCGACAATAATTTTTAAGTATTTACTTGCCGAGTGAGACAGTGCAGTGCCTCGTTGTAGTTGGCAACCACAGTCAATTGGCATCCTATGACACTAGTCGCTTCACAGGATTTTACAACATCATGTCTGGAGTTTTCACATTATCTGTGATGGGATGGCAGCACATTCGGAACTGCAAATGTTTTGTTCATTGTACGCAGTCAGCTAGAAATAAAGTGAATTCATATCACTGAAATCTGTGCCTGCTGTGAATGTGTGGGGCCTCTTGCATCTTTGGTCAAGGCTGATGTAGTGCAAATCTCTGCATGGGCCCCAGAAGTGTGTTTCGTTGGTCTAGTTGGTAAAACATGGTAAAAGGTAAAAATAGCGCAAACTAGAAGAAAGAAACGAAAAAATAACAGACAGGACGACTGCTCGTCCTGTCTGTTATTTCTTTGTTTCTTTCTTCTAGTTTGCGCTGTTTTTACCTTTTGCCTTTGCATGGGCATTTTGTAATGCTGGTTTGTTGTAATGTAGAGATCACATTGAGTTTTGCCTATTGCGCAGTCCATGAATGCAGCGGTCACGACGGCATTTGTGCTGCTCTTCGATGCGGGTCTTATCTACCGGGAAAAAAAAATGGTGAACTGGTGCTACTGGCTACAGTCAGCCATCTCGGACAGCGAGGCAAGTGTCGTTTTGATCAATTCATTACAGGCTGCACTGTGAATTTTTTCTCTGAGGTCACAGGAGCAAAGAATGTACAGATAAACCTGCTTATAATGAACCTTCATATGACGAATTCTTCAATATAGTGAAGTTTTCTATTGCCCTTCGTTGCACCATAGAAGCACATATATTTGTGACCTCTATGTAACAAAGTAACAGAGGGAGACAACCTTGATATAACGAATTTTTCTCACAGACAATCTAGGAATTTCGTCCCGAATTTTAGGACGAGCATGCATCTTCTGCGAGTGCCCCGTCGCCAACAAAGCGCAAAGCGGCGGCGGCGCACACGGTCCAGCAGGCGAGAGCGAGTGCTCGCGATTGCGCATGGGTAAGCTTGAAGCGGGCCTGTGCCCTACGAGCCAGCGTTGCTGCCGTTATTGCCGCCGCGGGTGCATGCGCAGATGTGCTCCTTCTTCCTCCAAAGCAATAACAAAGAAAACTACTTTTGTGTTGGCAGTGCCACAATTTTAGTCATTGTCACATATGTGGGACCCCGCTGCACATGTAGGGCGCTTTACCAAATACTGGTTTTCCGCGGTATTCGTGTCGTTCGCTCTTCGTTTTCTACGTCGTGCGCGCGTGCACGGTTTCACTGCGCACGCATGGTGTGGCCCCTGATGATGTCCAGCTTTGCTTTTTTTTTTTGCTTTTTTAAAATGTGGACAATCGTCTCGTGACCACTGAGGGGGTGTCAGATTAGGCACTGACGGAAACTCTCAAAGACCCCGGTGGTGATGGATCTCAAAGGTCGACTCGTCACCCACTTCAGTCTTGTGCCGTGCCTTGAGTTCGCAGGCTTGTAGCTTTCGTGATTAGCAGATTAGTTCTGGCAACAACACAACGGCGCGTTGAATGCAATGCAATAAATGCGCCAGCAAGAAATTGTAACGTTATATGAAGTAAGGCTCTCAGCCAACTCCTTTGGATCCAATATCTCGGGATCCAATATTACGGAACTCCTACAAAACACTGGTGTGAGCAAATACAGCCGCTTCAGGGAGATGCTCTTTTCACACAGTCCCTGCGTGTTGAAAGCCCATTGATATTTGCCGAGATAGAAAGTGTACCAGTGATTGCGACCGCCCTTAATATCAAAGTTTATAATGCTGCTCGAGCTAACCCTCCCCCCGTGCTTTTTTTCATGTTCATTCAAGAAAGGTGGTTTTATTTCTGTTTGAGCATTTGACGTCGGTTCTAACACGCGGGGGATGTAATTTTATGCGCCTTCTAGGTGATGGGGAAGGGCAGACTCATTTGATCTCTGCTTCAGGAGCGTTCACGCACTTTTACCCACTCGTAAAAATTGTAGAGGCATAGACACTCTCTTGTAAAGTTGTTTGCGCAGCGTGGCGCACGTGTCTCGCCCAAAAGCCGCATTTCGGGTTACAACCACCGAGCGGTAGGTGGCGTGTTCGCGAGAGTTGGCCACCACTATCGTCATCTTCATCATGGAGTAGCGCTGGCAGTGACCCCTGGTGGAGGCAAGCCGTGGTGGCGGGTGAGAGTCAAGCGAGCCCAACCGTTAGCGGCGGTTGCCACGAATGGTTGTCTCTCGCGGTGGGTCTGCCATGGACGGCACAGCGGGCTGCCTGCGGTAGGCCTACGTGGTGAATTGAAGTGTTGGCGATGCCGCCTTTTATGTGATTTTGTGTTATGTTGTTTGAGTGTATGGTAATTTTGTGTAGTGATGACTTGAAGTGTTAATAACGATTGATGTATCAATTCGGGGGACTATATCGTCGTCTAAATTAGTTAAATAAATGTATGTGTTCTTTGGTTTGTACCGACCGCGTCTGCTGTGTTCGTTCACTTCAAGAGCGTGGCGTGGTGCGCGCTTGCCAATGTCAAGACCTCACAAAGTTACAATGCGCGGGGGCATGTAATAAATTTAGACTTGTTATAGAACATGGCGGTGGCAGCAAAAACCTTCTGAGAGTGTCCATATAATTGCTATCGCGATAGTAATGTCGTTTTTAACACTAAATAACTGTTTAGGGTTGGTTCTGCCTTCAGTATTTCTTTTGTTTAATTTGTGCATTTATTTTCTGAATTTTTGTGCCATACCTGCATATAACAAAATCTTCTAAACAATTTTTCGTGGGAATTCATTCATTTGGTTATATCCAGGTTAAACTGTACTATCTTGCAGGCACTGCTCAGCAGCTGTTAAGGCCAACAAAGCTGAGGTGGCTCGTAGGCGCGTTGTTTTTTCTTGCACAAGTTATTTCAAAGACGTTGTTAGGAGAGGAAGTATTTTTTTCGAAGGGCACAGTAAGTATTGGGCAATATAACCATTGGACAATTTTTGTTGTGTGAAATTGTAAAAGCTTATTCTTATTCACCCCAAGGAAAATTCTGATTCATAAATACTTTGGTTTCTTGGAGTGGGATTAGCCATGTAGTTTAGTTTTATTGAAGATCATGATATTTCAGGGGTGCAACGGCTGTGCCAATCAGGCCAATTTTATACGATTCCCTCCCCATTTTTGTGCCAAGCTGACCCAAAACTATGAAATTTTCTGAAATTGTGCCATGCTGCGCCGAATTTCCCGACCAGCCTCAAAATTTTCTCTGTTGCTCTTAATTTCAGCGAGAAAAGGAAGCCACCTTGGCCATCTGCAGTTTAGACATCATCAACCAATCTAATACTGGCATGCAGACCCTAACCCTAAACCACAGTTAGATTCTAGCCACTCTACCACGATGTAAGATGTATTTGCAATGCTCATGAACTATAGGTGCCGTGCTTTAAGACTCAAGATGGCGCTTGGAGGCGGGTCAACCTGTTTGTTAGCAGAGGAACAAATATTACGTACTGCCTGTGCAACATTTACTGGGTGGGGTCATGAGCTGTACTGTAATCTATATGTGACCAAAATACTTTCCCAAACGATGGAAGCTCACCACCTAATTGTTTGCTGCAGTTCAAAAGGTTATAATTTATCTGGGTTACTGGGCATCAACTATGGTTTACGAAGTCCTATGTGCGCTACAACAAACTACATGAAGCTACTAGAACAGATACATGAAATGAATGGCGCTCTGAGGTAATATGTACCAAGCCTGCCTGACGGATTTGCCGCAGTATAGGTCGCTAGCGAGTAGTGTGTCGCTGCTGCACGGAACTGAACGTTTAACATGAAGGTGGTTTGCAAACGCATTTCACCGTCGTTACTTTCACAGTCAGAAAGACGGCGTTGCTTCTTCGACAAAACGCAAGCATTTAACGTTCCATTCAGTAGTGCTTGTGTCACAGCCATGCTCAGCCTCAAGCCTTGTGAAATAGACCGATCTCACCAGATGATCTGTGTATGTGTGGGGTTCTAACAGTTGCCCTGCTGCCATCTTAGTTGGAGTACTCGGAGCGCTGCTGGGGCGGCTGCTTGCTGCATGCTCCAAGTATTTTATCGTTTGGCACAAATCCTTGGCGCATAAGGATTCATCGTGGTGAGAACCTCAGTCCAGACCTCCAGTGCATGTTTCTATATTACAGGTTATACTGCATATCCTTGTGTTAAAAAAAAAAAAGCAGTTGACAGTGCTTACATGTGGCCAGCTCATCTCAGCATGTTGATGCGTTTGTGTCGCTTCGCGGAATTCATATAAGTTATTGAAAAACGAAAATTCAGTCGATGGCGTCATGTCGGCGAAAATTATTGTCATGGGAGCAAAACATGTGCCGAGCGAGCGTGCCTTGCAAGCAAGCTTGCAAGGTTTGCCCTAAATGTAACCCCACTGTGAAAGGAAAATACTTTGCTGATCTCTCCGGTATAGGAATCGGTATGACACGAAAGTGAAACTTGTCTTCACAGAAGTAGAGCTTTTAGTGTAGTGATATATGCAGAGATGGAAGTACTGCTCCGACTGCTCCAAACTGCTGCAGAAGAGAAATGCTGCTCCAAATTGTGGTTTTTCTTAGTAACTGCTCCAAACCTGCTCCAAAATGGCACTGAGAAAATGAAGACGGGCAACTCAACTGTGTGACCAGCTTTCGAGCCCTAAAAAAAAACTGAAAAGAATGTGTATGCTATGATTTTAGCATGTTAATATGCAACTTTGTTGGCTCTTATTTATGCAATAAAAACTGGCATATAAAGCTTTCAGATAATTTAGCTATTTTCAATTTTATATGCAGGCTATTTTGGTTATATGTAAAAATAACCGAAATATACTATAGCTCATGCAATAGGCATTCAATAAGCAAACTAATTGTTCATTTATTGTAATTTAATATGATGATATGAAACATCTTTTATGACAAATATTAATATTTATGTGACACTTGGGTGATGCTTTGAATTCTAGGAGTTGTCAATCTGCTCCTAAAGCACCACTAGCTGCTCCAGACTAGCGTTTTTCCTGCTACAAAAACACTCGTGGCTGCTCCGAAGTGGTGCTTACTTTGCTCCAAATGCTGCTCCAAAAAGTAAAAAGTCGCTTCCAGCACTATATATGAAAGCTTGTACAATGGCTATTTGTGTCTGGAAGCTATGCAGTTGAACACGGATATATCCAGCCCGCATATATCGAATTTTCGGGTATATCAAACTCGTAAGTTATCCCCTTGAACTTCCTTTGTAAAAGTAGAAATTCACACGTTTATATCAAACGGTTTTTTTACCCGCCTTCGAATATATCGAGCGCCACACGAGCTGGAAGGTGTGCGTTGGCACTCGTCGTGCCCCGCAATCTTCGCGGCACGGCTCCTCGCACGAGTTGGAAGGTGCACTATGGCACTCACAGCGCTGGGAGATGTCCACGCCGCACCACGCCTCCGCCAAAACCCGAAACGGTCGAAAAAGGTAAGGGGCGAGAGGGCTGGGACTGTACAATCTCTAACTTGCAGAATGGCTTTTTTTCGTTTCTTTTTCTTTCGTGCTTTCTTTGCGTACCTGTCAGCTCGGAGAGCAGGAACGAAGGAGCATCCTCCTTTCGCCTTTTATTTTATTTTTGTT